TTGTTTTTGAGCTTAGCATATAACATATAAAATTCTTGTTTTTGTCTGCTCTAAATAGTTTGTTAAGGTTGTTTTAAGCTTTGGGGTTGTTTGACCCCTCTTAAGGCTTGTTTGGCCTTTGTTTTGTGCCATTTTTGGTTGAGCTCCGGGACCATTGTGTTTTGGACCTCCTCACCATTGAAATCTTGAGGGATTTCAGAGGTGAGGATTGTGCCTTGAGGTCCTAGGGAGGAGAGGGCCACCACCTCTCCTTGTTGTCCTTGAAAAGGGCCATTTTTTGCCTCTTTAGTGAACATCATGTTTAGGTTCATGTTGACCATACCTTGGCTGATATTTATGCTTATTATGTCATGATATAGCTCTGTTTTTAGTTGGTTTGGACACACCTTGCATGGTTTGCATACATGTCTTGTAATGCCATCATTTAGCCTTAACATGCATCTAGGCTTTGACCCTTGTTCAAGCATGTTTTAGGCCCTGCTTTGTGAAGCTTTTGTACTGTTTTTTCCATGCTTAAGGTCTGCCTTTAGTTGTTTTGGTCGACCATGGCATGCATTGATAGCCCCTTTACATTGTTTAGCTTGTAGGCTTTAAAGTGTGAAGTGTTAAGCATGCATTGTTTGATTTATTTCAGTGTTTGACACCACTTATAGCATCATTTCAGTCCTCATGACATGCTTGCATGCTTGCCTTTGATGCCTCTTTGATGCCTTATGAGGTTGTGCCTTATGCTCCATGTTTGGTCATTGTGCATTGCCTTGAATTTAAGTCATTTAGATGCCATCTAAGTGGTCTTAGGCTTTGTTTTAATATGCTAAAACTCTGTTTTTGGTCATTTAATTCATGCCATGTTTGGTTTTGCTAAGGGTAGTTCAATACCTCATTAGCTTTGCCTTGAGTTTTGGACCTCTAATTGCATGCTTATGCTTGTCTTGCTGGCTTGGTTTGGCACCATTTTAACATGATTTTCAGAGCTTATGTTGCATGTCATTAGTCTATGTTTTTGTGTTTACAAAGTTGCTTCATATGCTATGTGTTAGACCATATGCGTGTATGTGTGTTGGACCTCACTTCCAATGATTGGCCACTGATTTTGGCAAGCTTGCAAGCTACCCATGTTAGTTTAAGCCCACCCCTTTGCATTTGTTGTTTGTCCACCTTGTATGTTCTTGCATATTTGTGTGTTGTTGCATGATTGGAGTTGCAATGATTGAATGAAGAATCACATGTTTGCTTGCATGCTCAAACACCCACATTGTGCCTTGCATGCTTGTTAGTTGCATTGTCTCATGCCCTATGTCTTGCATGACCATTGATGCCTTGTATGCTTCTTAGCATTGTCCATGTTGCATATTAGTCGACATGCTTAGGATTACATTGCATTGGCATGCATGCTTCGCCTCTTGAATTGCTTGTGATAGAAGTTGA